TCCTCACTATTTTCCCTGCTTTATTCTTGGTGCTCTATTTCTGTCAGATTCATATTTCTAAAGCACATCTCAGCCTCCCATTTTTCTGTGCCTTCTCCACTCCTTTACCCTTCACAGTCTGACCCCTGCCAGCCTCTCTTATTGCTACCCTGTGCAAAAGTATCATGTCAGTATTCTGCCTCTCTGTTCAGGAATGCTCTTTACCTTATCTCTGTCTCTTTGTTTTCTGAAACTTCTTAAAAGGAGCCATCTTAAGCCCTGTTTCCTGTACTGGAAGCCTTTCTCATGAACTGGTTCTCAGTCAGCCATTTCTTGGAGGTTCTTTAACACACTTATTACTGGTACCATTCATTTGCTATCTTTGTTGCCCTTTATTTACTTCTTATATTTGTAATGGTTAGTAAATAATTGGTGATGATATGGTGATGATATCTTTAATTTTGCTGGTCTTCTCAAGTTCTGAAATAACCTCCTTCAGAAGTAGTTGCCACTCTAGTTAATTATTCCCTTGCTTTTCTTTTTAATTTACTGTATGTTTGATGCTATGATTAGATGTTATTTAGTTAGGGTGGTTTTAGACTTCATATAAATGGAATCATCATTCTGAGTACACTTTTCTATCACCTGCTTTTTCACTTAACATTAAAATTCTGAGATCTATGCTTATGGATTCTGAGTTCCTACATTCATATGTTGTTGCACATAACTGTATTAAATTCATTTTTCACTCTTGTATACGATTCCAATGAATTTACCACAGTAGTGATTCCTGTGATTTATGTATCTACTCTACTGCTGATGAACATTTGGGGACTTCTAGTTTTTGTTTTTTGCCATTACAAGAAATGCTGCCATGTACACAATGTTGGCATAATTGAGCTTTCTAGTTTTTGCAACCTAGTAGGTGTTAAGTGGTATTACTTTAATCTTCTCTTTTCTGAGAGATTGTTCCTGAAAATCTCTCCATATGCTGATTAGCTGGTAGGCTTTCTCGTCTATAATTTTTTTTCTTGTGATTGCTTATCCTTTTCACATTGATTTGTAAGTTTTTCTTATGTATTTTAGATGACTCCTTTTTTCACTTTTAGACATCACAATATTTCCTTCTGTATCATTATCAGTATTATTAGCTTTGTGATGTCCATTTTTAACAGAAATCTTTAATTTTGATATAATCAGACATGTCAATTATTTTTATATGGCTTTGCTTTTGCACTTTTTAAGATATCCTCATTCCCATGTCACAGATATACCCTTTACATTTACTTCTATTTATTTCATAGTTTTAACATAACATTTAGGTTTCTAATTTATCTGCTGTCCACCTTTGTATGTAATGTTAGGCAAGGATCCATAGTTTCTTCAAATATAAATCATCCTTCCTCTGTTGATTTGTGGTACTATTTTTCTTTTATATTTATTTTCCATGTATACAGGGCTCTGCTTCATAGCTTTCTATTACTTAAAGCCTTCTTTAATTTCTTTACATGAGTTTTATTATTTTTCCCATAGAGGTCTTATACATCTTTGTATGTTTATTCTGATGTATTTTAAATTTTTGTGGTACTGTAAATGATGTCTTTTAAAATTTACATTTTCTGTGTGTTGAAGTACAGACATGCAATTGGTTTTGTATATTGATTTTGTATAGTAAACTCTTTTATTAGTTGTAATGATTTAGCAATAGATTCTCCTGGGATTTCTCCACCTGTAATTATATATGAATGACACTTTTTTATTTATTCTGTTTCAATTCTTACATCTTAACACCTTTTATTTCCTTTTCTTAATGAACTCGCTAGAATTTTTTTCTGCATCTTTGGTGGTGGGTCATTTTACTTTATTTTAGAATCTCCTTCCTAAGTGAACTTTATTGGTATTCTAGTGTAATATCAAGTTTTTACCCGCGATAAATTCAGGTTGGTCATGATACTCTTTTCTTATACAGTGATAGATTTGATAGACTAATATTTCATTTAAAAATTTTCCATCCATTTTAACGAATATACCAATATATTTTAATTTTAGGCCATATTAGGAAGTACCCTCTAGGTTGTTACAAATGGAATCCAGTTTCTTATGGTATAAAAATCTAATATTAACATTCCTTATGTATACACACAGATTAATCCAAAGCTTGAGGTAATGGATTTGCAGACCTCTACACCCCCTGTTGTGGATATCCTTTCTTTTGATTCTACCACAGTAAGTTTTCTTTGACATTTAAGTGGTATTTAATTATTGGGCACAATCCATTTTCCTTAAGAAGTGTGGGGAAGAGGGAATAAAAAGTGAGCTAAATATCCTAACAGTTTAGCACAGAAAAAACCTTGTACAAAAACTCATATACTTCCAAGTCTAATAGCCACAAGGGGGAGGTGCGTCTAATAGCCACAAGGGGGAGCAGCACCAATTTCCAGAAAAGCTTTTAATTTGATGACCTTGAGCTCAGTCTAATCCACACTGACTGTTTCATCTGTTAACTTGCCGCCCAGGTGACCTTTCACTTGCTGCCACGGAACACATTTTCTTCTTTGTTGATTGCATTTTAGAGGTCCTAAAATTCCAGTGTTCTTAGAAGATATAAGGAAAGGAGTCATTTCCCTTTGATAATCCTTGATGGATTATCCAGAAATTAAGTATTTCTAATACTTGTAATTTTGTTTATAAAAATCACATAAATATAATTTATTTACTCAATGTATCCAAAGTTTTGAGAGACTGAGAGTTTCAGCCTTTCAGTTTGAGAG